TTCTTCAAAAGTTCATCAATTCGAGAATATCTTTATTAACGATCCTAACTCGATATCTTCCTATACAAATCCATCAAAAGATCGAACCGATCTCGAATCTCTCTTATTCGTCTGGACGAATAGCCAAGCCAACAACTGGCACAGTGTCTCTGATTTAATTCGCGTGAACGAGACATTCGACAGAATCGAGATAGAGGCCCCCATGTTCGCCGCGAGGCGAAATTATCAGTGATGAGGTTGCCGGCTCGAGAACTCACGGAGAGGAGTATCAGCGACCGTAGTGGTACACCTTGGCATTGACCGGCTTGCTCTGCAAGGCAACTCGCTTGCATAATATGCTCGTCTCGTTCATCCCGCGGCTCCGCTCGATTATTTCTCTCCTCTCTTCGCGCCACCTGTGGATTCCTTTAACGGTAGTATTACACGGGGAGGGGGGCGTGTGATGCATCTGCCTCATCGGTGTTTCGTTGGGCAAACGAAACATTTTATCTCTGTGATGTAACAATGATGATGACTCGTGTGTTACAATTGCTCGAACGAGCGGCAAAAAATTTATTTGAATTAGAAATTTGGCACAATTATTTATTATTATTTGGAAGGTAGTTTTTTAATCTTCTTGTTGGAATTCTTTGTCGGATACGAGGAATAATATATTTTGGGAGAAGAATGAAAATGAGAATGTTTTCTTTTCTTCGTTTCTAACGATGGCAAAGTGACAAAAGATTTCTCGATAAGAGGAGCAGATAACCGAGTTTAATTTTAAACGACAAAAGATAAGTGTTGAACTCTAGTGTTTCAGCTTTCACCTCTGCGTGTTACGTAAACGCGAAGCTACGAACAACGTGAATGGTCTGAAAATTTGGAAATTTACGAAATTTACGAATGCAGCGAGTCTTTTGTTACTTCGAAACAAACGAAATTAGAAACAAAATTAAAAGAAAATTCTTCTTTTTATCGACTTAAACACGAACAAACAACATTAAATATGAAACACATGATCTAAAAACAATATGACGATTATATTACTACCGGCAAAAAGAAGAGTGAAACCGAAAAGAAAAAAAAAAAAAAATAGAATACAAAATTATAAAAACTACAAGCTAGAAGAACACATAATGTAAGAAAAGAGGAAGTGTAGCTATTGCTTATCCCAGGCATGAAATTAGTCACGAAGATAGATGATGAAAGAAGTCAAAAACTAAAATTAGCAAGCACAAGAATGAAACTAGCTTTACGACACGACGAATTGATCTTGGATCATTGCGACAAAAAAAAGTAGACTTCAGTGAGTCAATGACCTACAAATCACACGCAGATCAGTACTTCATTGGAATCGTTTCAATTCAATCGGCGCCCGTCACTTACACAATTCAACATCCAATTATTTAAATAACCTTTTTAACATCGAATCGCACGCGTAACGATTCAATAAAAAAAAAAAAAAAAAAAGAATGGCTTGCGTTCATAACAAAACTCGCGTACAATTATATCGAAATTGTATTTCAATAAACATTCGATTACGATCGAATCTGGACTTGATTTTATCGAAAACAATTAAATCCATCAAATTCATCGCATTATTTTTTGATTTCTCTTCTTTCGTGTTTCCACGATGCAAACGCTCCTTTCTTCGAGCGATCACCAAGCAAAGAGATTATAAACTATTACACACGTTGTCTAACGCTCGTCGAGCCAAACCACTTACACATTCTACTCTTGCACTCGGCTAGGAGCCGTCGCAATGGGGGGCAAGCAAAAGAGGGCAGGTGTCTCTCTGTCATAACAGGAAGCGTAATAGAACTAGGGACGCGCCGAAAGTTGGCTGAGAGGCGTTAAGGAATTAATGCTGCTCACCGAGCACGACGCGAAACAAAAAGGAAAGTAGCTGAAAGCGTAAACCGAATTGGATAACTCGCCACGGGGGCCTTTACGCGAGGCACGCGCGTACACGAGGAGCACGAGCTGTGCAACGTGTTGCCTCGAAAAAAAATGCCTCTTTCCTTTTCTCTTTCTCCGCTCTTTTTTCTTTTCTCTCTCTCTCTCTCTCTCTCTCTCTCTTTCTCTCTCTTTCTATCTCTCTCCTTCTCCCTCTCCCCGACAATGTTTCCGAGAGTGTTTCGATCGAATCGATATTCAACCGATAAATCGGCACTCGAACTCGGCGCTCAGCCTTTCACCGCCTCTTTTCTCGAGGGAACCGCCGTTCCCTCGCCTCGATTCAATGCCATTTCGTCGCCGCGCGCTTTTGATGACCTGCATTCAAGGCCGCGTGCTCGCTCGCTCGCGCGTATAATCCGCGATCGTAATGAAAATCGCTCGAATTACGAAATTTTCGGGATATGAAGAATATGAAGACGTGTCGAGAGATTGTTTCAGAATATAAAAGTGATCGAATCGGAGTAAAAAATAGTGCGTACCATTGTAGGGTTAAGGAAGCAAGATAGTCAGTATATAGAATATAATAGAATTTTCATTGGCGTAGCGAAGGGCAGAGAAATTCCCCCCCCCCCCCCGATTTCTACGTTTAATTTAATTTTTTACCATAGGAATAGAAATTTTGGAATGGAACGAAAATTTTGTCGTTAATCAATTTGCAGAACTGCGTGGATTGAAAGAAAGAGCGCGTTAAAAAGTGTCGGTCAGTCATCTTTAACCTTCGATTTTCATTACCTATTTACACCTACGTGAATACCGTTACCGGCCAGACGGTCCAGTGTTTGAATCACAATCGCGGTTTTATTGCTCTCGAAACGAAATCGGTCGTATTTATGCGGTGATTAGGAGTGAAAAAAAAAAAAAGAAAAAAAAACTCGGGCTTCGAGGAACGATATTACACGGCAAGTCGTAACGATAGCGTAACGGCACCTGCCACGCCATGGGTATCGTTCTTCTTACGTCACGTCGCGAAAAATCGGCGATTCGCGTTGCGGAATCACGTTCCTCCTTTTGCAATAGGCTCCTCCTCCGAGCCTGTCTACCCCTTCACGCGCGCGAAAATACAAAAATAGAGCAACGAAGGACTTTCGTTTACACAGGGTAGAATTTAAATCGCTTTTACAGTGAGTTTGAAATGTCATATCGAACGAGCGGTTATGCTAATTATTCGAGATTTTTTTTTTTTATGTGCGTCTCGTACAACCCGCTCGTTACACTTTGGATGAAATATGAGAAAGTTGGATTATAAGTAGCGACGTGTATCATAAGATTTGCTATCACAGTTGATATTACAGTTGAGAAGAATTTAAATTTTCTGTATTCATTCGTCATCATTCATATTCTTTTAAATTGTTTTGATACACTCGTGATGGTGTCATGTTCGAAATTCTAGAATTGTTTGAATGAACAATTATTCAATTCGTTATGATGGATATTTTTAGACTCTTATTTTATCGAAATTTTACTCAAAGTAATAATCATCTATTGGCAATTTTTCAATTCTGTAAAATTTAATATGACTTCTCGAAAGATAAATATACATGAAACATTTTAGAAAAATATTTGAATTTATGAAATATATTTTACGAAAAAATTACCTTTACTTTTCTACCCTCTTTTTTAATACGAAAGAATCTTTGAAAAAAATTCAATTCAGACGTGTAGAAATAGAGTTTAAAATAAAGTTTAAAATAAGTCCAAATTGACTATTACACGATATTTCTCTTTAAAACTACAAATATTCAAAGATCAAGACAATTTTACAAATTTTTAATTTTGATACATTCCTTCCCAATAAAAAACTAGACGAACTAAACAAGATGTGACGTGTCAACACGACACTCGTCGTGTCAACGACGAAAGAAAGTCCTACCCCGTAATCCGGTTTTCGTCATTTCAAATCCCTTATCGAGTAAAAAAGTCCAGAAACGCTGTGCTACACGAAAGTGAAAGCCTTCGTTTCGAAATCTTTTTATTTTTCTTCTTCTTCTTCTTTTTCTTATTCTTTCTTCGCCAACGTGTCGAATCAATCGTGCCACCTGCAAAACCGATCGGGACGATCTATCCTACGATTATATGCGAATTAGTCGAGGAGAATCGGCGTGAACGTTAACGCGAATCTTAATCAAGAACAACGACTTCCTCGCTTCCAGGTGGACGTGTCGCTCGGTGGAAATGGCTCCACCTTTCCAAACGAGCGTCCTTGGAGGAACCGGTGCACCGGGAAAGGTGATGAAAACCGGCCAGTCACGTGTACCATGCCAACGCGAGCGGTTGTCGTACGCCAGCTTCGCCCTCTTGTCGCGCGTTTCAGCGATTTTCTCGCCGAACTTCTCGCCTGTCTACAACCGTGTCTATAAACCGTGTTACAAAAGTGCTCGAAGAATTTGTTGAAAATAACCTCTTGAGGAATATACGTTGTGTACGTTCAATTTTAATTCAATCTTTCGTTCGATCGTTTCGTATGTGTGAATTAAATCGCTCACAAGCTAAATCGAATGTAATAGAGAAATATCGAAATTGTCTCTTTGTTCTCGCGCCTTTTGTGGCTGAATTGGTCAGGATTTTAAGTCATTCTCTGCTCTCCTTATTAAAACGTTTTATCTAGCGTTTCGAAATGTCCGAGAAACGCTGAGGTTTTATCGTGCTCTTTTTCTCGTCCTCGTTCCAAGACAAACACGTTACACTGCTTCCAGATCTCTACAAATTACGTACGAACTTTCTAAAATAATGAAAAGATAGAAGGCAGAGCTTCGATATATCTTCAAGAATTTGAAGAAATGCTAGGCTAAAAATTCAAAATTATTCGAATAATTAGTTCGTTAACTTCAGAGAAGTTGAAAAAAAAAAAAAAAAAAAAAAAAGTATCATAAACTCGATAAACTCCTTTCTCGAACAATACGTGAAAAACGTATTGTATGTTTCGGAATGCAATCGGCAGTGTTTGCGTGTTAGTTCGTGGAAAGTGTCTCTCAAGGAAAAGCGATGCAGACGTGACTGACCTTCGTGTTACTCGCGCGAGGATCTTCCTCGTGGATCCTCGTGGAACAACACCTGACGCGTTTCGAACGGCCAGCTAATGCTTTTTAAATCGCGGATGGACGCGCGCACGTTCGTGGACGATTATTTTCAAAGTCATTGCTTCCAACTAGGAGAAAGCGAAGCGTTGGCAGTTGTTACGTGCGACCAGCGATCCTCCTGCCACGCGGATTAGATTAAGTGTTATCGTGCCGCGAAAACACGAATCATTCTCGCGGCGATGAAGATGATCTGAGCGGAAGATAGAAGCGGAATTGATGAGCGTGGCCGATGGCCGATATCCGAGGAGGAATTTCACGATTCCGTCACGTTTTCGCCTGGCCAGGATTAAAAAGCCGCACGCGGAGAGAAATCGTCGTCACTCGTCGTTGTAGAATAATATCGTCGTGAACCGCGGCTGCCCGAGCGCAAACTCCACGTTTCCCCTCGGAAGAAGCGCATTATTGCGTGCGCCAACTCGATTACAGGCCATTCGACGACGTCCTGCTCAACGATTATACGTCGAGAATCGCGGCTGGCTGCTACGGAAATCGAGAGAAAGGTACTCTTTTATTCAACTCAACGACGTATTATCGGTATGTTTGTCGGGTTAAACAGACGTTTCCGTTCTTCGAAACTTTTTCCAAGTGGATCGAACGTTGAATCGTTGTATTCTCCGATATATTGGTTTTTCACAATTTTTAATTTTTAAACAATTTCTTAAACAAATGCTTCGTTTCAACCGATTTCAATTTTATCGTCGGCGTATTCCAAGCGTCGTTAACTAAAATTTAAATTATTTTATTATTTCGAAAGAATAGGATTAAGATGACGATTCTATAACCATTTGAAAAATATTTTTTTCTTTCTTCGACGTTATAAAATGCTTGTTATACGTGCTCAACAATTTACACGGAGAATATCTTCGATATATTTAGAAACGACAGACGATTATATTATCATTGCCACGACCATCCATCTAACAAAATCAAGTACGACAACTTATCCTTTCTGCATTCTGTAATAAATTACAAAGCTCAATTATCTACGTTCAAACATCCTTCCCTCGAATGTCTCGCGAGGTAAAAGGCGGAGATAAAGGCAGTAAATTCAGATTCTTGTCGGAAACGTGTCACGAGGCGAAGTTACTTCCGCGAGATCTCGACGAGTCGGCCGCGGATCTCGAGGTTTAATGCATGCCGACGAAACGATCGGGCTTGCTTGGGTTTGTTTCACTCGGTTGCAAGTGGTTGCAAAGGCCTGGGTACTCCAGTGACCCGTGAATGTTTGTCGACCACCGTTCACCAGCTGTTCACGAGGGAAAGGCGTGGCCCCCTTCGGACCTGCATTCTTATATTATTTTCCGCCGTTGGATTCGCGAAATTCCACCCGTCACGTGAAATTTTTAAAAAAATTTTAATTTTAAATTTTAACAAATTCTCCTCTTTCGAAAATTAATCGTCCCTTGGGGAGGAAATGTGCTTTTTTTTTTTTTTTGTTCCATATCAGAATTTCATCTCGTTCTACTGATTTTATTTTCGAGGGATAGGAAGAAAGATAAGACGAGCATTTTTCTACTCGAAAAGCAAAAGGGACAACAAAATTTTATTGACGAATTCCAATCGAAAATTTTGATATATATATATATAAATTGAAGTTTGTACGGATGGAAAAAATTATACTGATATATCAGTTTCTAATAACGGGAATTATTATTTCCATGCAATAGTTGAGAAAATGTTGCCGTTTCAATGGGGAAAGCAAAGTTACTCCCGTGGAACGGAAACACCTCCGCAGAATAAACTTATACTTTCCTCGAGCCAGGTGGCAGTCACCGTATGTCTCGCGACGAATAACTCGATTCCAGTTTGCTTCGAAACAAGCATGAGCCGATGATTGCCAGGGTGAATGGTATTAAATCTCGTTAAATTAAATCGCCGCAATTTATCCATTATTATACCAATTTTTTTCCTCGAGGTTGAATATCGAAAATACAGAAGAAAAAACACAGAATAACGCATCACAAAATGATGAAAATATTCTAAATATATAATATATACGGTATATATAGGAAGTAAAGAATCATTCCATTTCCTGTTCCAGATGATGCAAAAAAGACTTCCCGCGCGAAAGCTCCTCTTAACGATATTACTGGCGACGTGGGGCATCTCGATCGTCGCATCATCGACGAGCAGGGAAAGGCGGCACGTCGGCGTGGAAGAGGCCGTTCATCGAGGGGGGAGGACGTTGGCCGGCAGTGACAGTTTCAAGTCATCGACCGGCAGAGAGAACGAGATAACCACGGAAATCGGTAGGAAAGTGTCGCACAGATTGATCGGTGGCCACTTGAGAGCCACGGATACGAAGCAAGAAGAAGCTTTCTGGGACGACGACATCCTCCTATCGTCGTCTGGGAACGGGAAGGAGGGGAAGGCCGGGCGCAAGGACGAGGACGACGAGAAGAAAACCCTCTCCCAACAGGTGAAAGAGGGTAAATACGGCTTGATCCAGAACGAGATCTACGGGACCGGTTCCCCCAAACGGCCGGGGATAATCAGCTATCTGGGTAACCCGGAGGTGCCCAAGGACACGATAGAGAATCTGGGTGGCCTCGACGAGGAAGAGATTTGGCTGGCGGAGAATCACGTGCTCGTGTTGAGGGGAGGGAAATTTCCCGGCCACGAGGCGACCAGCACAGGGGACAACGTGCACACCTGGCCACCGATCGACGATTACAAGGCGCCCAGGAGGCAGGTCAAGATACCGTCCAAACCGAAGGTACCGCCACCGTTTCCGGTACAACTCTCGGAAGGTGGGCCCATACAGATCATCGGCCCGAACGGGACCAAGGAAATCGGGCCGAACGGGACCGTCGACTACGGCAAGGACTCGTTCCTCACCAAGGGATTATTATCCGAGGATGACCCGTTTTTCACGGTTATCGTCAACGGGAGCGTGATATCGACGTCCGATTCGAGGAACGGGTCGTCCGAGGAAGGAAATTTGAGCGGAAAGGAGAAGTTATCCGATGTTTTACCACCTGCCGGTCTTCCACCTTTTTATCACGCGATACCGCCCGGAGCTGTCTTCGTACCACCGCCGGCCAATAATCAATCGGATTACGACGAGGAGGATCAATCCGTCTACTATCCACCCCCGTACAGTTTCCATTATCAGCAGGACAACGCGACCGCGGTACCGCCCGGCCCATTGGTACCGGGGATCATTCTGCCACCCCCGCCAGATTTCTTCTCCGCCCTCGAGGACAAGAGGACCACGACGAAGAAGTACACGACGCAGAGACGACCCGAGACCACGCCCTTGCCGAGGCCAAGGCCCACCTACCTACCGCCCAGAAAACTCACCACGAAGCAGTACAAGAGTACGACGACTGATGCGATACCGATCGCGAAGCAAGGATCGACGCCCGTCACGGACAATCGCCCGTCATTGGCCGTGAGCAAAGTGTTCGGTAGAATAACGTCGAGGAAAAACTTTACGGACGCGGTTGGAACGAAATCGGGGGTGAGGAGCAAATTAAGAACGGTCCCGTACGTGGATGTTACGACGTCGGCGCCCGATAAATCTACCACGCTCGAGAATCCCGAAGAATTGTACAACGTTGGCCCGTTGGCGGAGAATCGGGAGAACGAAGCTTGGTCGGGCGTGGTAACGAGTAAAACGATTCCGATAATGGCCTACTACGCCACGTCGACGCAGTCCACCTTGGAGAGACCCGTGGAAGTGACGCCGGCCTCGATAAAGAGTATCGTTACTACTACGGATAACCCGCAACGGTCTCACAACGGTCAAGCGTCGTACTATTTTTACGAGGAATCGAACGACGAGCAACCCCTCCGCACGAATCCGGTTTATTACGAAACTACAACGGAGTCGCCGTTTTTCGAGACGCGACCACGCGAGGGTGTCGAGGGGAAGAGGAAACAATATTACAGGGTGGAGACGGTTCCGTCGGGGGACACGTCGTCGTCACACAAGGATTACAACGGTATTAGGTTCATAGGCTCGCCGGCGAAAAATTCTGGGCCAATTCGTTACAGCGAGTCGACGATCGCGCAAAGTTCATCCAAGTACAGCAGCGAGAGCAGCTCGGCGAGAGCTCACGGTCAACGCATGTTACCTGATCACGCGCCTCTTTACTATCAGACCGTACCCGCTCCCCGTCCACCCGTCCCCGTGCAGCCGTCTTATTCTTACACCAGCTCGAAGCCACCGCAGGCTTATTACAGGCAGGAGGCGAAACCGAAGCCGATTTATCAGTACAGCTTCGAGGCGGCCGATTATTCGAAGCGAAGCGGTAATCAGAGGCAGCAGGTTGAGGCGTATCGAAACGATTATCGAAACATTCGAATCGGGGAGGATTACAATAATGGACCCAGATACGACTATGACGAGTCGATGCCCCAAAAGAGAATTAGAACGGAGGTGTACAAGAACCAGCATCCGATCTTTCAATCGACCACCACTTCTCACTCGGTGATAAGCAGTACGGAAAATCCTCAACAAGTTTATTACACTCGTCACGAGGAGAAGTTGCTGGACGATGTCACGAAAGAGTATTTCACGATCTTTGGAAAGAAGATTGGAAAGAATATACCGAGCACCACTCCCTTGTACTCCAACAAATTGAAGAGCGTAACCGAAACACCGAGTTACAACGGTTACGCGGAGAATTTCAAGAGCCCTGAACCATCCGTGTACAAGATACCCAACGTTAAGGTGCACTACGGTGACCAGTCTCAAAAGCCGTACTCCCTCAAAGAGGACATTCTCGTCAACGAAAGGCAACCTCTGCCCCCGATCAATCCCGACAGCGAGTTTATCACCGTGGTCGAGCACAACGATCAGCGACAACCGTCCAACTATGGAATACACGATAACAACCAATCAGGTGACAATCGACCGTTGGCAGCGATTCGCGCCTATCCATCCCAACCGCTCGTGAATCAAAGGATCGGGCCGCCCAACAACAACTACGTACCGGTGGTCGAGTCTCCCGAAGAATTGGACGACGTTGCTTACCCACAACTACCCATATCTCTGGAAGACGACATCAAAGTGAACTACAGGGATCCACGACCCACCATAAATCCCGACGCGGAGCTCATCAATCTGGAGGACGATATAAAAGTGAACTACCGCGATCCACGACCTACCTTAAACCCAGACGCCGAATTCATCGAGCCGATCCCTGCGCGCGAGAACCAGCCGGAAAAACCGAAGGCCTATTTCGCGTACCGATTGCCAGGCGATGGCGGTCACTTTTACTTCCTAACGCCGCAGGCGATCGCGCAGAGGCCGGATCATAGCGCCGGCCACCTCTACTCGAGAGTGGGAACGAGGCTGCCTAGACGTCGACGGAGGCCGGGCAACGTGTGATACTTTGTACGCGGCGAGGCAGCCAACGTAATGCCATATATTAATCATCGAGGACGCACGATGGAAATGCGTGTCATATAGAACGCAACGCGTGAATCAAACGACCACGACGAAACGTTCTGTACCGTTACTAGGATATTTATTGTACGTGTAAATATATATAACGTGTATCTCTTGTATGTATGATTAAGATAGATGATTATCGACGCCTCGTTTATGCTATATTAAATGCTTAATTTATGCGATCTAACTCTATCCCCGCTTTAGAGTGTGTGTGGATGTGTGTGTGTGTAAATGTTAAACGCCGCTCGTGTGCGACGATAGGTAAGCGCGGGTCCTTTTGAAAGAAAATCGTGTACTCGCGCGTTGTCTGTGATTAATGATCGATAGTAAACGCGTATTGTGTACATATAATTATGATTGACGATATTTAGATTCTGTCGTAGAGCGCACAGAGTGCATTTTTATAAATCGTTAAACAAAATATGTTATAACCGATGCATGCATGGAATATAAACATTGTTTGTACCAAGTTTCCCCCCTTTGTGTAGAAGAAAAATAATTAATAAAGATATTACATATCGATAATCGATGTATACGATAGTTTCTACGGACAGTATTTCATATCGATTAGTTGACACTGATATTATTCTTTTGTATCTCTTATACGATGCTTTATGAATCGATCAAAAAAATTTATTGTGTATGTAAATATTTAATGAGATACGTTTAATAAACGATATTATTATTGTAGGATTAGATTAGTATAAAGTATTTTTTTAAACGATACGTGTCAATGTAATGACAGATGAATTTTTTTTAAGATCGATTATTTGGACTTAAAAATGAAATATAACAAATTTAAAAAATTCGAAGAAGTGAAACTTTATGAATGAAATTTTCTTCTATTTGAAGCCACGATAAAAATAAATTACGAGTATTATATTCTTTATATTGTTAACGAATAGATATTAAATATAAATAACTCTACAACAGTTGAAGTTATTTATATTTAGTAACCGATTGATAAAAATAAATGATGCAAGGAATGCAAACTTACCGGTGTCGATTTCTTGCGCCTGCGTTGGATCGGGTAACGGTTCATCGTGTAGTCGTAAATAAACCTCCATTGCACATTTCGCTGCTTTAAAATAAAATGGATGAGCTCGAAGCACATCTTCTAACCTTAGAAGACCCACGTAAGACCTCAAGGTCATTTTTCTCATACAGTAGGTATGAAAGTCGAATTGATCTTCTATGATTTCAGAAAAATGCTACAATCGATACAATTCGTGTATGAGCGAGTATATAATAATGAATTATTATTTGCAAATGCATGTTATGAACCCTTACCCTGTCAACTTCGTGACATTTTTTTAATGCCTCCCCATACTTTCCAAGACGTTTATAAGCGTTGGCTGCTTCTGTTTGAATCCACATGCATTGCATTTCATTTAAATTCTCCATAGCTAAAACTCCTTCCCTAGTAAACTTGCTACACGTTTCTTCCGCCTCTTTAATGAGATTCGCTCGCAACATGTATTTGGCACATTTGGAATTGATATATCGATCTGCAGTATCTAATCCTTGTGCTTCATCCAACCATTTATAAGCTTCTTGAACATTACCGGCATGCTAATAAGGATAAAATATATTATAATTATGTTATTAAAAGCACATATACATTACAAAAATAAAACTTACCTTATAAATGCGACCTTTGGTAACAAAAAGTTCTATAAGTGTAGGTGTATGTTCTATGGCAGCATCAATTTCATTTAGTGCTTTTTCTGTAAGTCCAAGATGATCATAGTGTTGTGCTAAATAATAATAAGTCCATAACAATGCCGAAGCAGGTTCTCGCGGATTATCCTTTTCTTGATCACTAAAATGCCCATGAGCTTTTAATGCTTCTTTGTATTCCAAAACCAAAGATTGTATAGTATCAACCTTTTGTTGATCTGTATATAAGGAACGAAGATTTACAAACAAGGGCGGTACACCTTTATGAAGACCTATAATAAATAAGATATAGTTAAATCAAATTTTAAAATTTAATTTTTTTTTCTTTTTTTTTTTTTTTTTTTTTTTTTTTT